TTACATTTTTATTAATGGAGTATAATAATTTGTTTTCTAATGCTGCATTATTTATGGGTGATATGTTGAGATGGCAGACAGAACTTGAATTCCACAACATTGTGTTTATCATCCTATTAACAGCATTTTGTTTGTTTCAGCACAATGCTCCTGGCTTCCAAGATGACTTTGAATCCCAATTCTATCATCTGTCTCTCGCTGACTATTCCTTCTGGCTTCCTGTCATGTGAAAATTATTAAGGGTTTAGGAGGCAGACCACCTCAGTTCAAATCATGGCACCACTACTCACTGGCCATGTGATCTTGGTGAGTTAGCATAAATCCTCCTTGTGCCTCGGTTCCCGTAATTGTAAAAACTTGAATAATTATCGTAACAATTAGAGTTGTTCAATGAAAAAAATGAGATAATGTATATAAGAAGCCTAATATGGTGCCTGGCACAGTGTAACTGCATAATAAACATTAATTATTAATTAATCTAAATTATTGATAAGAATGACAAACAGGTCAGTATTAGGGATGAAGCTTCATGGTATTTTTTGGGTAACTTCTCTCAGAGATGACAGCATTCAAAATTCTTTGAGAATATCAATTCAACCAGCTTTGTGCTTAATTACTACATACTTAAATCCAATATAAAAAACTTCAAGACACAGAAACATATTCATTAGTATCAATTTTCAGTTATGTTAAGAGACTCTAGTCTCTAAGTTTAACCTTCTTATCACCTGAAAAATACTGGTGTGAAGAAAAAGAAATCAAGATAGACTAGACTGGCAAGAAAATCTCTATCACTGAGAAGATAATTTCAACAGTTCAAGAAATTCCTACCCACGTTAGAAGTCTGGCAGAATAAGAAATAAACACATTCCTATGCTTACTGCCATAATTAAGCAAGGCAATACAATGAAACTAAAATGTTAAAATGATAACCAAAGTACAATGAAAGAAAAAGGAGAATTTTTAGACACTTCATCTATTATTAATAAGAAACATCCAGGGAATACTAATGAGAGTCTAGTGAAGTACAAATGCCTGTAGTAGCTGTCATCTGCAAACAGAAGAGCTAAAATTCTCAGACAAAATGCAACATCTGGAATAATAACTTTAATGGCAGGGGAAGCATCAAAATGCATGCTTCAATACTGAACTTTAAAAACTGCTAGCTGACCTCTAAAAAGAAAATGACAAAAGAATATAAATTACTATATGTATAGTATTTATCCTCATTAACAGTCACATTCCTAAATTTTTCTAAGAAAAGATTAATCAAACAATCACATATGGATCATCAAGGAATGAAGGTTTGTATCCAAACAAATGGCTGTTGTACAGTTTCTACCTGGCTAACGTTTCCAGTTTGTGACTGTCAGACCCGAGTTCAAATCCTTACTCTGCAACTCACTAACTGTATGACATTAGGCAAGTTACTTAAACTTCTCTAATCTTATTTTCTCAATTACAAAATGCAGATAATGTTTACCTCACAAGTGTTTTGAGAGGATGAATCAGGATATATTACATGTGTGTTTTACTGTGATTAAACATACACGGTATAAAATTTATCATTTTAACCATATTTCAGGGTACAGTTCGGTGGCAGTAAGTGTATTCACACTGTTGTGCAACCATCACCAACGATATGTTTTTAAAGATTGAGCACACAGTAACTGCTCAGTGGATAGCAGCTAAAACGACTCTCATTAGTGTTATCTCATCCCATCCTGAATCTGTGTAAATCATTTATCCACAAACAGAAACTATTTCATATTTATTTCTACTGAATTGCACCCAGTTTGGGAAATACTAAGTTCAAGTTTTAAGCTGCAAACTATATTCTTAGGTTTCAAACTCTTCATTCAAGTGACTGACGAAAATATAAAAATACCAGGTGCTAGCATTTATTGAGCACTTAGCATGTGCTAGTGCTATTCTAAGCACTTTTCAGGTATTAACTCGTTTAATGTGCACAGTAATAATTCCAGGAGGTATATATTGATAAAAGTCACATTTTACAGCTGAGTACAAAGAGGTTAAGGAATCTGCCCAATGTTGCCCAGCCAGTAAGATGACAAAGCCAGGATCTGCACTCCAACAATCAAATCCTAGAGCCCATGCCCATAACCATTCCACTACACCGCTTCTCACACATGCAGTGACATGAGACCCATAGGAATGACTTCTGGATGCCAGATGTTATATGTTGACTGGGAAGCTGTGACATCCATTATTTTGCGTGTTCTTCATAATGACAGTGAAGAGCAATCATCCCCATTTTACAGATGGAGAAGTGATTTGCTCAGGTCTATAGGAACAGGTGAGAGAGACCTGGATTCCAGCTTGGCCACTTGTTACCTCGAAGTGCATCTACAATCTCCCTGAGCTTCACCCAGCTGCAAAATGGGAACAGCAGGAATAAGAACACAAGAAGTAAAGGAGTGTGTGTTTGTAAAGCATCTAGCACAGAGCCTTGTATAAACAGTGCTCAATAAATGTTAGCCCACCCTTCCTTGTTCTCCTATTTGTGACTCCTGCCATAGAAATTCTTTCCAAATACCATGCTACTACTTCTTGATGCCGTCTCACCAACTGTGTTAACAGATGGGTGGCAAAAAAACCACGATTTTTTGGTGATTACCATGTGATACCAAATGAAACCTCAGTGAAGTCCAGCTATGTTATATAATTTTAAGTATAACAAACTTCCTCCCTTTTGTCCATATGGTCTGCCACTTTATCAAAGTAGAAAATAAAACTGGTCTACCAAGATTTGTTCTTTACAAAATTATGCTTAATGTTCCCCAATACCTTCTGTTCTTTTAGGTAACTGCCAAATGATTTACTTAATTTGTTCTAGTTTCTGACCAGATATTGTTTAAAAATTAGGTTGACCTCATTTCCAAAGTTACCTTTTTCCCTTTAAGAAAAGTATGCCTTTTTCTGTCATCAGACACTTCTATTCACCATAATTTATCAAAAATAAAACCTAATAGGTTGACAGTACGTTCTATACCCTCACATTTGCATAGAAGGAATATCTAACACTGAATTTATAAGCACTATTCATGCCAACTGTGGCCATAGCAATTAGTATTTCTTATCAGTTGGGCAGCATTTTCTTAAGAAAAAACAAAAATGCTAGGAGGAAGCGTGGCCTCTTATAAAACAAGATTGTTGCATAATTAACCTTTCCCCCCTCAGATAGCAAGGATGTCACAAAGCACACCCCGTTGGCTTCCAAGTAACATTTAAAATATTCCCATCTCTTGGGGCACCTGGGTGGCGCAGTCGGTTAAGCGTCCGACTTCAGCCAGGTCACGATCTCGCGGTCCGTGAGTTCGGGCCCCGCGTCAGGCTCTGGGCTGATGGCTCGGAGCCTGGAGCCTGTTTCCGATTCTGTGTCTCCCTCTCTCTCTGCCCCTCCCCCGTTCACGCTCTGTCTCTCTCTGTCCCAAAAATAAATAAACGTTGGAAAAAAAAAATATTCCCATCTCTTAAAGCAATCTGGACGTGGATGTTAAAAGCCAAAGGAATTTTTCAGTCAAGTGCTGACTGTTGAATCTTCCCCAAAAGCTACTTCCCCAAAAGCTAAAGGCATATTGGGAGACTACAATCACAAGTACCACAGAGAAAAGTGGCACCATGGGAACAACTCACTTGTGTTTGGCACAGTGAAGGTTCACTGCCAATTTGTAACAGTATGAATTCTATAACTATTCAAAGCCAAAACTGAAGTTTGGATGTGAGCAGCTTTTCAAAGTAGCTTTTTCTGAGGCCTAGTAGCTAAGTAGCTAATATAAAATAAGTAAGCTGTAGGAAGTGGTAAAGTATAGGCAATGTTTAGGAATTAAAATATAACCTATACCTATCTCTTGATTTGCTTAAAAAAAAAAAAAAAAAAGCACTGTCCTTCACACAAGATATTTTGCTTCATTCATTCATTCATTCATTCTTGAGCTAATTTTATGAAAATGAAATGGGGAATTATATTTTTGGTGCTTAAATTTAGCCATATATATAAGTGACAATATTACTTGTCCTACTAATCTCATGAGTCTGAAAGGATAAATGAAATAACAGCTATTGAAACATTGTTAAAATTTAAGTATATAGCAACATTAGATATAGTTGTATTTTTAAAATTTATAAGCATCTACAATGAAGTCATTTATTTTTTCTTTTTTTTTTTAATATATGAAATTTATTGTCAAATTGGTTTCCATACAACACCCAGTGTTCATCCCAAAAGATGCCCTCTTCAATGCCCATCACCTACCCTCCCCTCCCTCCCACACCCCATCAACCCTCAGTTTGTTCTCAGTTTTTAAGAGTCTCTTATGCTTTGGCTCTCTCCCACTCTAACCTCTTTTTTTTTTTTTTTTCCTTCCCCTCCCCCATGGGTTTCTGTTAAGTTTCTCAGGATCCACGTAAGAGTGAAAACATATGGTATCTGTCTTTCTCTGTATGGCTTATTTCACTTAGCATCACACTCTCCAGTTCCATCCACGTTGCTACAAAGGGCCATATTTCATTCTTTCTCATTGCCATGTAGTACTCCTACAATGAAATCATTTAAATGGCACCAGTCTCAGTGGCCAAATACACATTATTGACAAAGTAACTGAGTGATGATATTTTCTCAGCCCTTTATGGAATTACATTTATCAAGGAATATGAATTTTTGTCTTACCTGTTAATTCCTAGTCATTTTGTTTTACTTTTATAACTTAATACTTATAATAAATAAATCCAATATAAATTCACCCAATTAAAAAGGGAAAATTTGGAATATTATGTTGTTAAATCACTAAGATCTATGTCATTATATATCAAGAATATCTTAATACCATTGCAAAGACTTTTCAGTTTTAAATAAATAGGTTTTATAAAATAAGATGAACTTTCCATTACTGACATTTAAACCAAAAAAGTAAAACACATGAATGGTTTCAAACAAAAGGAATACTCATAACTTTGTCCCATTAGAAACCTCAACTTACCTCATCTCCCTTCAAAACTTCAGTACCATCAAATTCGCGGGTCTGATTTGTCTTCACTGATACCTCTCTCTCTAGGCTGGCTAACTTCTCCTTCGCTTCCTGAAGTTCCTCAGCTTTGGCTTCTTTTTTACGAGAAATGATGGATGCCTAATTGAGTATAAAATATGAATGTGAAATTAGACATACAATCAACTTTCTATTATCTTGTGAAATTATTTATTTTTTAGATTTTCCCAAGCTAAACTTTCAATATCTGGTTGGCTTCTCCTAACCAATACCCTACTACCTGTCATCACTAGTTATATGTTTAATATGAGCATGTAATGTATATTAAATATCAACCCAAAGACATTTTGGAAGACAAAAGCCCTGAAAATACCGCTATATCAGCAGAGAAACAAAAATACAATAGTATTATACATATTCAAATATTGTCAGGTAACACTCAAATGTTAATGAAGATAATTTCTAGGTAAGCAAATAGAAGCTATCCCTAATTCTAGTGTTTTTCTTCATGGTAGCTTTCCTTTCACCAGAAGAAAACAAGACTGTTTTATTCTCAAAACTACAACACAGGTTATCTTACCTAAATTCAATAGCCATACTTTTAAAATGAAATGTTAAAACATCTATTATATTTGGGGCATTCTAATAAATGAAGTGCAGGTTTAAAACCAAACATCTGACTCACCGGAATTATGCAAATGTTTACACAATCCAAATGGCTGTTCTCAGCCATGAACACAGCACTTTCCATTACTTAGCAACTCTTGGGGGATTTCCTCAAATGAACCACAGCTGTACTAGTGTAAGAAAAACATTAGCCAAACTGTCTTCTTAAGTGAAATAGTACAAATATTTTCTTCACACAAACTTGACAGGAGAGGGGAAATCTCTAATACAAACCCTTTAAACCAGTCTATTCTTTCTGTCTAAAAAATGAAAAGACAGATGACGAAGGAATGTTTCTCTCCATAGAATTATTCCAGCCAAAAAAAGAGAGAAGAAATGATGAGTACCAGAAGCATACAGGAATTGACAGTATACCTCCTTAACACAATAAAATAAATAAATATAAACCTCAGTCCAAAACAGGATCTTATTTAATGAACATGAGAGTATCTCCCACTAAGTCTGGAACAAGGTAAAAATGCCCACTATCTCTACAATAATTTAATATTGTGTTGAAGGTATTTGCTCATACCATTAGACAGGAGAAAGCAATTAGAAGCATAAGAATTTAACAGGAAAAGTTGGCATTTTCATAGTATATGATTATATGTCTAAAAAAAAGAGAAGAGAAACCATGGGAAAACCATAGTAAACAAATCAGTAGTATTCATAGACAAATCAGTCAGAAGACATAAGGGAGGAAAAGCCCTCAGTTATAAAAGCAAAAAATAAAATGTGGAGCCAAGAGAAGTTCCAAAACTTTGAGGAAAACAAACACTCCTGAAAGACAAGAAACATAAACTTGAACAAATGGAGACACATAACATGTTCTTAGATGGGAAGAACATCATATCATAAAGATCAAATATCATAAAGATGTAAGTTCTGAAGTAACTGATAAATATAAAGCAAACCCAATAAATAAAAAACTATGTTTTTTTTTCAAGAGCTAGGCAAGTTGGTAATAAAGCTTACTGAAAGAACATACAAACAAGAATTGCAAGGAAAACCCTGAAAAAGTAGAGCAATTGGAGGTGAAGGTGGGTACTTTTATCAGTTATTTGAACTTGACTATAAAGCTTCTGCAAATAAGTTAATATGTGTACCTGGACAGGCCAATGGAACAATAGAAAATACACAAATAAATCCAGTATCATTCTTAAATTTGAAATAAAACAAAGCCAGAATCTCAAATCCATAGGTGAAAAATGTATTTTTTACTAACTGATATTAGGACAATTAGATAATTGGATAGCCATATACAATAAATAGCATATAACCAGAAAAAATCTAAATAAATCAGGGATTTAAATATAAAAAATTAAATCATAGAAATCCAAAAGGAAAACCTGAGTAAATTTCACTATAACTTACAAGAGGGGAAAATGTTCCTAAATATGACTCAAAACGTAAAATAATAAGAGAAAGAACTATTAAATTTTATTTCATAAAAATGAAGAACTTTCCCATGGTGATATAACAGCACCATAAACAAATAAAAAGGCAAACACCAAGCTGGAGGAAAACGTTACAATTATAAACCAGACAAAGAGTAAATACTTCTAATACATAAAGAAAAAAGGCCAACAACCCTATAGAGAAGTGGGGATATGGACATGAAGGGACAATTCACAGAAAAAGAATTAAAACAACTGTTACTCATGTGAGAAGATGCTCAACCTTGTTTATAATAAGATAAGTGAAAATTAAAACTATCACAGGATACCATCTCTTATCTACAAGGATGGCAAAACTCTAAAAGCTCAACCACATACTGGAGGCAGTGAGGAGGCAGGCACTCTCTTGCATGACGGGTAGGAACAAGAAATGCTGCACCTTCTATGGAGAGGAATTTGGCAACATCTAACAAAGTTACATACACATTTACCCTTTGATGGAGCGATCTCACCTCTGGGACTATATCCTAAAGATAACGCTGGCAAACATGTGCAAAGACATAGGCAAAAATCTGTTCATGGAAGCATGACTTGCAATTGCAAAAGAATGGCAACAACCCAAATGTCCATCAACTAGTGACTGGCTGAATGAAAGGCGGTATAAGTACTCAGTGGGATACTATGTACCATGAACTGGAATAAGCATACCAACTAAGACGGCTATGATAAAAAGGAAAAAGCAGATAATAACAAGTGTTGGCAAGAATGTGGAGGAATGAATGTGTTCATACACTGTTGGTAGGACTGGCTTGGAAACAGTCTGGCATTTCCTCAAAATGTTAAACACAGAATTATCAAATGAACCAGCAATTCCACTCCTAGGAATATACTCAAAAGAAATGAAACCATATTTTCATACAAACACTTGTACAAGAATGTCCTCTGCAGTATTATTCATAATAGCCAAAAGGTAGAAATAACCCAAATGTCCATCAACTGATGTATAGATAAACAAAACATGATCTATCCATACAATGGAATATTATTCAGTAACAAAAAGAATGAAGTACTGACTCATGCTACAACATGGATGAACTTGAAATTTTTTTCTAATGTTTATTTATTTTTGAGAGAGAGAGAGAGAGAGAGAGAGAGACGGAGCATGAGTGGGGGAGAGGCAGAGAGCTAGGCAGACATAGAATCCAAAGCAGGCTCTGGGCTCTGAGCGGTCAACACAGAGCCTGATGTGGGGCTCGAACCCACAAACTGTGAGATCACGACATGAGCAGAAGTTGAATGCTCAACCAACTGAGCCACCAAGGTGCCCCAACACGGATGAACTTTAAAAACTATGCCAAGTGAAAGAATCCAGTCACAAAGGATCACATATCATTTGAGTCAATTAATATGAAATGTCTATGACAGGCAAATCTATACTGACAGCTTGGTCTCTGGTAGTTGCCTACGTCTGAAGGTTGAGAAGGAAATGGGAAGTAACTGCTAATAGGTTTAGATGTTCTAAAATTGATTGCGGTGGGGGGGTGCCTGGGTGGCTCAGTCAGTTAAGCGTCCGACTTCAGCTCAATGGTCTCACTGTCCGTGGGTTTGAGTCTCATGTCGGGTTCTGTGTTGACAGCTCAGAGCCTGGAACCTGCTTTGGATTCTGTGTGTGTGTGTCTCCCTCTCTGCCCCTCCCCTCCTTGGACTCTCTCTCTCAAAGACAAATAAACACTAAAAAAATAAAATAAAATAAATAAAATTGACTGTGGTGATGGTTGCACAATTCTGTGAATATACTAAAAACCACTGAATTGTGCATTTTACAAGTGAATTATATGGTATGTGAATTGTATCTCAATAAAGTTGTAAAAAAAAGGAATAAAGATTATTCTATTTAGCAGCATATACTGTTAAGAATTTTAAAAAGAAAAGTGTGTATTGATTCCTTCTCTCAGAAGGGAGATACATGGATCTATGTATATATAATATTATTATTTTGTTTTGTTTTTTATTTTAATCTTGAGATTTTTGTTGTTTAATCTTGAGATCTTGTTATTTTAATCTTGAGAGCGAGAGAGAGTGCACGTGAACATGTGTGCACCCGTGAGCAGGGGAGAGGGGCAGAAGGAGACAGGGAGAGGGAGAGAGAGGTGGGGGAGAGAGAGAGAGGGAGAATGGTGGTGGGGGGAGAGAGAGAGAGAGAGAATCTTAAGCAGGCTCCACCCCCAGTCCAGAGCTCGATGCTCTCATGACTGTGAGATCATGACCTGAGCCAAAATCGAGTTGGATACTTAACCAACCACCCAGGTCCCCCATATATAACATTATTTTTTAGTGGAATAATTAGCTTTAAAAATTAAAAAAAAATTTTTTTTAACATTTATTTTTGAGACAGAGAGAGACAGAGCATGAATGGGGGAGGGTCAGAGAGAGGGAGACACAGAATCTGAAACAGGCTCCGGGCTCTGAGCTGTCAGCACAGAGCCTGACGTGGGGCTCGAACTCACGGACCACGAGATCATGACCTGAGTGAGCCAAAGTCGGACGCTTAACCGACTGAGCTACCCAGGCGCCCTGACTTTAAACATTTTAAAAAAATTACCTATGAGGGAAGAAAATATTAGGATAGATAGCACAGGAGTAGATGCTAGAAATGTCTTTGAATATTTTTTTGTTTTTTAGAATTCACTTGGAATCATGTAAATATTTTAAATAATCACAAAACTAATCCCTAAAAATAAAAATAAACATACATATGTATCCAGTTTAATGTGTGGCATAACCATATAGAGGACCTATTCTAAGTGACTTCAAAACGGTAATTTGTATATTCCTAGTGGCATATATCCTAAGGACAAAACAAAATAAAAAACAATTTTCAGCAGTAATCATATTTTTGGTGGTAGTATTGTTACTTTTATTTTGAAACTGTTGTGTGTAAAGTGTGGATTAAAGCAAATAAAGGATTAAATGATGTTGGTATTACTGAGAACCAGAATTTCCAGGGTGGGATAAGGAGAAAGATGTGAGACTGATGAGGCTAAGCAGAAGCCCAGTAGCCTTGAATCTAAACTGGAAGGGTAATAAATATGAGCTCAGGGTGACATTAGGAAGAGAGGAAGAAAAAAACTATTTCTTAGCTTTGTCCACAAAAAAGACCTAAAAATAAGGGCCACTCAAAGAGCAATAAGAAATTCTAATACCCAAATTTCAGCCGCTATATATCATTTCCTAATGAAACAAATCAGGCTCATAGAAGGAAGTCTAATTCCAAGCCTAGGGAAGGAAATATAAAAGATGAACATAGAAATATTCTTATCAAACCAGAAAGCAAAGACATTATCAAAGACAAAGAGAATATTAAAAAGGAACCAAAAGTTAACTTGAAAAGCCTCCTAGTATTAAAAAATGGGACAATTTGAGCATCATCAAGGAAAATACTAGAAACTTATCAAATAGAATTAAATCTCTGATTCATAAGGATGTTAAATATCTAGATGATCTGTCCATTGTTATAAGTGGAGTATTCAAGTCCCCTGAAATTGCTGTATTCTTACCAATAAGATTGCTTACGTTTGTGATTGTTTTATGTATTTGGGTGCTTTCAAATTCGGTGCATAAACATTTATAATTGTTAGCTCTTCTTGATGGATAGACCCCATAATTATTAAATAAATGAGGAACCAAAAAATTAAAAACTAACCTTAATTGATCACTTTTACTGTTGGAGAATGAAAATGAGGTGGAGGAAACAAATTCTTTTTGAAAACTGATAAAGGATCAAGCATGTACCCTGCCTTTCCTATGTGAACTATAGCTCAGTTTAACCAAATAGGTGATGAGAGGTTTTTCCATAGAGGCAGTCAAGCTAATAATTGAAGAAAGAATCACAGTATCAACAGTTTTTAACAACACTTATTTTTGAGAGAGAGAGAGAGAGAGAGAGAGAGAGAGAGAGAGAAAGATCGGAGGAGGTGCAGAGAGAGAGGGACAGAAGATCTGAAGTGGGCTCTGTGCTGACAGCAGCGAGGTGGATATGGGGCTCCAACTCACAAACCGTGAGATCATGACCTGAGCCAAAGTCAGACGCTCAACCAACTGAGCCACCTAGGTGCCCCAAGTATCAACATTTTATAAACCCTAATGAAATTAACAGATGAGCAATGATAATCAATGGCTGTTAACATTCCAAAAAAAAAGAGACAATTAGACATTATCACCTCCAAATGGAAGTACATAATGCTACCTAGAAGTATTCTTGCCAAAAAATATCAAACCAGAATTTTCAGGAAATACAGGAAACAAAGGAACATGTTAAAAGAACACCATAGGGTCTTGGGGCACCTGGGTGGCTCAGTCGGTTAGGGTCCAACCTCGGCTTGGGTCATGATCTGACAGTTTGTGGGTTCGAGCCCTGCATCAGGCTCGGTGCTGACAGCTTGGAGCCTGGAGCCTACTTTGAATTCTGTGTCTCCCTCTCTCTCTGCCCCTCCCTTGCTCATACTCTGTCTCTCTCTTATCTCTCAAAAACGAATGTTAAAAAAAATTTTTTTAATCAAATTCCACACTTACAGATATAAGCACAAATAGATCTATCATCACAGTTGGCAGATGCTAAGGAAACTAAGCATTATCAGGTGTATTGAATTTCAAACTCAAACATGTGTCTTTATGGTTTTTCCACAAATTCTTTGTTATAATCTGGAGATTAGCAATAACAGAAGAATATTTATTCTTTAAAAACAATTTTTTTAATCTTTATTTATTTTTGAGAGAGAGACAGAGGGCGAGCGGGGGAGGAATAGAGAGAGAGGGAGACATAGAATCCGAAACAGGCTCCAGGCTCTGAGCTGTCAGCACAGAGCCCGACGCAAGGCTTGAACTCATGAACCGTGAGATCATGACCTGAGCTGAAGTCGGCTGCTCAACCAACTGAGCCACCAGGCGCCCCAAGAACATTTACTCTTTACTTCCTTCTCACTTTAAGACTATCCACAACACAGCCTAGGGTATTTATGAAGATGTTCACCAATAAGATTAAAGATCTAAATATGAAAGCCAAAAGAGTGGTCTTACCTGTTGCCTGTATAGTGAGAGTTTGCCTTCAATTGGCTCATTTCTCATCATTTTCTTTTCAATCAGCTGATTTATCTGTGTGTTTATTTCATTTATCTAAAACAGCATGAAAGTAAAAAAGGTTAAAACTCTCCCTATGATTACATAAACTAGGGAACATCTAGCCAAACCAAACTTTGAACTTACATAGTTGTGTGTGTGTGAGACAGAGAGGGGTGGGGGGAGAGGGGGAGACAGAAAGAGAGGAGGGGAGAGGGAAAGAGAGCAAGAGAGAACACACAAATGGGGGAGAGGAATAGAGGGGAGAGAAAGAGAGAATCTTTGGCAGGCTCCACCCTCAACACCGAGCCCAACATGGGGCTCAATCCCACAACCCTGGGATCATGACCTGAGCCAAAATCAAGAGTCGGATGCTCAACCGACTGAGCCACCCAGGTGTCCCTGAATTCAGTTTTTATCTCAGTGATTTCATGGGAGGAACAGGTCCATTAACGTTCTAAGTAGGTTACTATGATTATTTTTAGGAACAATTTACATTTCATAGTTCATGATATATATTTACACACTTTGATTATTTATATGGATTTAACTATCCATGTTGAAATTATCCTGAAGTATTCTACATGAAATTTTATACATTATTATCAAAAAGACAATTTCTAAAAATCTGAAGTTATCCCTCACCTATGTCGTGACTTACAAGTCACTGCAAGTGATAAAGAAAACCCAGACTAACATTCCCGAGGGATTTAGTGTAAGGAATTCATGAACCCAGCTGAGAGTTTTTGGGTTCATGGATGACATCTAATAACCCTTCCTGTTCTAATGATCTGTGATTCTATATAGCTGCCATTTATCTTACTCATTAACCCTTTACCAAATGTAATAAAATAAAAGTGAATAAAGCCAATAAAAGTAGATAGTCCCTCAAGAAATAAAAAAAAAAAAATTACATGGCTTCAGTATAACTATCCTTTAAAAAGACTAGAGTACTCCTGTTAATTCTATGACATTAAATTTGAGCTAAATGTTACTTGAACATCTAATTTCTTTAAGTAAATTAAAAGAATAAAATGGCCAGAATTATGTATTTAATCAGAGTGGGCATTAAGCACATATTACGCATATTAATGGATTAGTGAGCCAAAATCTTTCAATCAATCATCATACCATTTAATTCTTATTTTTTAAAAATATACATCTGATTGGTGCTTTATTTCTATGGAACAAAAATATAATAATATGAAACCAAGTTTCAATGAACATTACAAGAAACTTTAGTAATTCCAAAGCAGGCATGAAAAAGCAAATAAAAATATTAGCTTTAAATATAAAATTGCTATAATATTATTCTTGGAAATAAAAAATAATGATATGCAAAATATTTAAAAATTTACCATCTAAATGATTATATTATGAATACATAAACCTATGAGTCAATGATATGCATTAATTTATATATTCAAGCTGTTTAGTTTCCTAATCAGTTGACTAAGTCTGTATAACATCATGTAGATTAAGTAACGGCATTACATGCTATAATTTCTCACAAAGAACAACTCCTCATAAAAACTGTCAACTCAGCACAGGGGAACTTAAGAGTCAAGAGCAGGACACCATAGAAAGCAGTTCATATAATTTTCACAGGACTGGGGATGAGATAAAATTGGGAGTTATAAAAAGAAGACTGGTTGCCACTTACGTTAGATTCTAGTTCAAGAAGATCAGAATGGCCCATGGCAGGCTCTGAAACCACTTTTTGTAGAAAATGCAATTCTTTTTTCTTGCTCTCTAATTCTTTAGGAAATTTTTCAGTTACCATATAAGAATTAAACTTTATCTCTTCCTCTAGTCTCTTCATTAAACCTTTAAAAATAAAATAATTATTCAGCCCAAGAGAGTAGGTATAGTGATACTTTGTACACTTTAAAATATGAGACCTGAATAATAGGCTTATCTATTGAAAGCATTCTGTATAATAAAAAATTGACCATTGAAATATTTTTTCAATTTTTTAAAAAAGTAATCTACACCCAAGGTGGGGCCCAAACTCATGACCCCAATATCAAGGGTCACAAGCTCTACCGACTGGGCCAGCCAGGAGCCCCAACCATTGAAATCTTTTGAATGACAACACAAATGAAATTCCACCCAGATTCTTTGTTCTATAAGTGGCCATTTATTCTTTTTCTTTAACAATACTTCTGATGCAATTTGTATTTCTATTCTAATATTTCATAAATGGTAATACATTATAATTTGTCAGCTTCAAACCAATGAAAATATTACTAAAGGTACAAGTCAGAATCCAAAAAAAAATTATCTACATTCATAAACATTTTTGGCTTTCCATGTTGGTAGTTTTGATATTGTAAAGTATTAGCTTACAGTAAGTGGCAACTTAAATTGTATTTTAAAGGTTTTAAAGTGTTTGAAAGTTTTCTTATTTTGGCAGAGTACACATACACATACACAGATTTTCAGTGAATAATAGTTTTGTTATAAATTCCCAGCCTAGGGAGCTTTAAAAGGTTTATTTCAGATCTTTCCATGACACGTTTACAAATTCTGGCTTGACTTTTTAAAACACTGGATTTCCGGTTTAAGTAATCTACGTAGGTAGATTGCTTAATAAATTTGGCCCAAAACCTTAAAAATTATTTTTAGTTCTGTTGTGCTAACTATATATTAACATGTAAAACTTTATTAATGGCAAAATCACAAGTTTTCCATTCATCCCTACAATTTTTCCCCCTTTTTGGGGACTGGGGAAAGGGAGGGAAGAGAGAGTATTTAATGAATCACACTATAATTAGGCAGTCATTCCTATGTGGTTTCCGATTAAATCTACATCCTGGCTCCTTTGGCTATTAGATGACTGTTTTTTCCATTGTCAAGTTCTTAAACATACTACACGTAACCAGAGATATAAAGAATCAAATACTAAAATGTTTTCAAAGATTTAAAATTCTTAAATATTATCTTTTCTACTTAAAAGAAAGATTCTAATTTTAGAAAATACAAACTGCTGTATAGTGACAGAAAGTGGTTGCCTGGCAATGGGTAGAGGGGCACAAAGCGGCATTACAAAGGACACAAGAAAATGTTGGGGAGTGATGGTTATATTTGTTATCTTAAGGTTGATGGTTTCAACAGTGTATTTTGTCAAAACATATCAAATATACACTTCAAATATGTGCAGTTTATTAAACATCCATTTTACCTCAATAAAACTGTTAAGAAACATAAAAATAGGGTTTCCATCACATTTAAAATTCTTCTCTTAAAAATTTTAACTTAAGACCTTGAAGAGTAGTCATATTCTCAATGCAGCTTTTAAAAAAAATATCTTTCGGGGCGCCTGGGTGGCGCAGTCGGTTAAGCGTCCGACTTCAGCCAGGTCACGATCTCGCGGTCCGTGAGTTCGAGCCCCGCGTCAGGCTCTGGGCTGGTGGCTCGGAGCCTGGAGCCTGTTTCCGATTCTGTGTCTCCCTCTCTCTCTGCCCCTCCCCCGTTCATGTTCTGTCTCTCTCTATCCCAAAAATAAATAAAAAACGTTGAAAAAAAAATAAAAAAAAATATCTTTCAAAATCCTGGTGAAATTAAATATACAGTCACTAAGATCTCAGCAAACTTTCTGGTTAAAAACCCTCTGAAAACATCTCTCTGACCCTACAACAGAATGAGTAGCTTCTTTTATATAATAAATCTCACAAATAAGTATAGAGTATAAAGATGAATTAACTTCCATGAGTGTTTTATAATATGGCTGTTACTCTGAAAAAATACAAAGCACATTCCTACACTAAAAACACTTTTCATGTTATTCAAGTAAAGAGAAACTTTCTATAAGCTATTTTTTGTTACTTAAAAAATTTAGATAGACCTTCTTAAAGGAAATACCTGGATCAATTAAACATGTTTTATCTACTCTTTTCCTAGGCTGCTGAATACAACCCTTAAGACTATTTCCCAGATGGGGCGTCGGGGTGGCTCAGTCAGTTGAGGGTCTGACTTCGGCTCAGGACATGATCTGGCAGTTCGTGAGTTCGAGCCCCACGTCGGGCTCTGTGCCGAGAGCTCAGAGCCTGGAGCCTGCTTTGGATTCTGTGTCTCCTTCTCTCTGTCCCTCCCCCACTCATGCTCTGTCTCAAAAATAATAAATAAATGTTAAAAATTTAAAAAAAAAAAGACTATTTTCCAGAAAGATGTCCACAAAGCAAGAACTCCTTAATTTCCTGCTCCCTACACCCTGCCCCAAAGAATACATATTACACACATAATACCTTATTTTTATGTTTTCAGCCCTGTTTTTCTCATTTGATTCTCCTCCTATCTGTGGAAAAGATCATTTTCTTCCTATCCAGGGTTTTGGTCTCTACTTCCACCTCCTAACTACTTAACAGACTATTTACTGAATGCCTGTTCTGTGTAATTTAGCATGCTAGGGCCTGGAAATAGAAAGACCAATTATGACTTGGTAACTAGTCTGGAGTTTAGTTGAGTCAGAGTCAGATACGCCAACAATTAACATATTGTGGCAATTGCTGCAGAACACTCAATGCCCTACACACAGGAAAGGCTGTTATCAACTCTCACCTTCTCCTCCCAAATCTTCAATTTCTGTTTGTCTAACTGACTCTCTCCTCCAGCACACAATCACCCCTATCACAATCACTATCACAGTCACCAGCACACAATCAGTCTAGGCATGGTACTGTCTTTCTCATTCATTTGCACATTCCCTCTATTGCCTTCTTTTCTTTTCTGTTTTTTTTTTTTTTTCTTCCTTCTTGCCTTCTTTTCAAAGACAAGCAGTCAGGAATAGCCTACCCTTTTATCTCTACTTCATCTATTATATTTATGTTCTTTCTGGTTACTGTGCCTTGGAATGGAATGTCTTCTATTCCTTACCTTTCCAACTTGAACTTAACTCAGGTGCCACCTCATCCAGGAAGCCATTTGACTCTGTGACAGGGTTTGGTGCTTTGTCTCTTTGTTCTCATAGAACCCTGTGCTGGGCTCCATCAGCAAATTAGTGATGCTGCATTGTAACTGTTCACTGCCTGTCGTTCCTGTATTAGACTGTGAGATCCTAAATATCTTTGCTTTCTATTCCTAGCACCCAGCACAGTACCTGACATGTAGTAGATGTTCAACAAAAATTGAATTAATGCACTATAGGTTTGAGCCAATTATTTCTGTTACTACTTAACAATGTAATTGATTTTATTTAGTAGCATCTATGAACATTACTCACATTAATATTTTACACCAGTATCCCAAGAGATGCATAAAACACAATTTTATTTGTAAGTTTTATTACTAAGTGAGTAATTATGTACTCCCTGGCCCAAATAATTTCTCTTTAGGTAGAAAGCCAAAGTAAAATAAAGCCTATCAATTCAAATAAAAAATGAAGTATTACAAATGCTATAAATACCTTTGGATATTATGTTTAGTTGTCAGAATTAATACATAATAACAACGTATTTAACCTAATAAAACTGAAGATAACAGATATTGAAGAACATTTTACACTGTATTAAACTTCACTGATCAATTTTTTTCTGCATACAAAATCTTTCAATTCTTACACACATTACCTTCATTTCAAGAAGTTCACTATTTGTTTTAAAAATTTTTAATGTTTATTTATTTTTGAGAGAGAGACAGACAGACAGACAGAGCATGAGCGGAGGAGGGGCAGAGAGAGGGAGACAAAGATTCTGAAGTAGGATCCAGGCTCTGAGCTGTGAGCTCAGAGCCCAACACAGGACTCGAACTCATAGACTGTGAGATCATGACCTGAGCTGAAGCTGGATGCTTAAACAAATGAGCCACCCAGGTGCCCCTCAATAAATTCACTATTAGTGGTAATTTCTAATAATTTCTTAGTAAGAGTAGGCCTATGCAAATTACTTACTGATATTAATTTTTAAATGGCTATAACAACAGATTTCTTTTGAAGATTTGTCTTAATTTTTACAGTAAGTTTTGAAGGAAACTACATCAAATCCAAAGAATATACACGAAAAAGATATACATCACACTGAGGAGAAAAAAATCATAAGAAGTTATTTTCTTGGGGGTACCTGGGTGGCTCAGTCAGTTAAGTGTCCAACTCTTGATTGCGGTTCAGGGCATGATCTCGCAGTTTGTGAAATCCTAACAGTGTGCTAACAGTGCAGAGCCTGCTTGGGATTTTCTGTCTCCTTTTCTTCCTGCACCTCCCTACCTCTCTCCCAAAAAATAAATAAATAAACATTAAAAGAAAAAAAAATTATTTTCTTTGTCCTGAAAATTAACATTCTCCTAGAAAGTGAAAACTTAGAGAATAAAGAATGAAATGACACCAACAACTAAATGCATGGCAACTTCCAGGTATTGCTTGACCCTGAATTTATAAGACTAAGAGGAGTGAGAGAGTCTATGGAAAGTCACCAATTAACAGGTATTAACCATATATTTTAGAGGCAACACTATACTGGTTTTTAAAACATGAATTAAATATACCATACTTCCTTGATTCTAAGATGCCATTGATTAAGTAACAAATACCATGTTAAATGTACATATAAAATGTAACATATACCCCAATGGCAAAAACAACTAAAATGGGAAAGAATATGTGTCTAGAATTAAGGAAATACTGTATTATCTCTTTTAACAGCTGTATTGAGATACAATTTACATGCCATAAAATCCATCCATTTAAAGTATTTAATGGTTTTTAGTAAATTCACAGAGTTGTGCAACTAGCACCACAATCAATTTTAGGACATTTTTATCGTCTCCAGAGGAGCTCTATACCCATTAGCAGTCCCTTCCTCCCTCCACCACACACACACAGCTGTCCCCGCCTTAAAACTCCCAAGCCCTAGGTAATCACTAGTTGGATTTTATCTCTCTGGATTTGCTTATTCTGGACATTTCATACACATGGAATCATATAATATGTGGTCTTTTATGACTAGTTTTACTTAACATGTTTTTGAGGTTCATATGTGTTGTAGCATGTATCAGTACTTCATTCCTTGGCATTCCATTGCATGGATACACCACATTTTGTTTATTCACTCATCAGTTTAGGGACATTGGGGTTGTTTCCACTTTTTGACTATTATGAATAAGGCTGCTATGAACATTTGTGTACAAGACTTTGTGTGGACATATGTTTTCAATTCTCTTGGGTAGATACGTAGGAATGAAACATGCTGGGTCATTTTGAGAAACTGCCAGATAATTTTTCAAAGAAGTCACACTATTTTACCTTCCTGCCAACAACAATTCCACATTGTTGCCAACAATTGTTATTGTTATTGTCTATCTTTTTTATTCTATGAATTATAGCTTGGAGCATAGTATTTCATAGAATACTACAGAAAGATGAATTAACACTTGAACAGCCAGATATTTACACTGAAATATTTCTCCAGTACCAATGATAGCTTTCCACTGCTCCTCCAGTTTACATGGTCTCCCTTCTGATGAGCAAAAACACTTTTAAAATGCCTAAGAAGGGTTTGGTGGTATTATCTCAGGTATTAGAACAATTTATCCTCTATGTAAAGCTAATGTGCCAACAGTCAAGTCATTAGCACAGCTCAATATAAGAAAAAACACCAAGCTTTAAGAGTCCAGCATTTTATTCCTTTTCTTTATGGCTCAGGCTCTAAAACTGTTCACATTTTTCCCATCCATCTTTTTCATAACATCCATCCTAGGTACATGCCCACATACCAGAGAGCCTCCCTCCATGGTGGTTTTCACGATCTTTACCTTCTGACCAAACACTGAATGGGAACCATAAAACCCCGGTAAAAGTTAAGGATGTCTTCAATAGGACTCTCATTAATTAACTAGAAAATGCCACTCTAAAATGCTGAGCTATCACTCAACAATAATTAATTCCCATGAGCTGATTGTTTTAAGGAAAACTACTGATTTAAACTAATATTCTCTGATCATCTAGATCATATAACAGTTTCCACTTACTTTCAGGCTTTGCATCTGCTGCTGTGTGGCGCATACTTTTCAGCTGATTTTGTACTCTTTGCAGTCTCTGCACCGCATGAAATAGCTTTAAAATATAATTAGATCCATTATTTCCTTAGTGTATTGAGACCTACCACTCACATGGACAAACAAAGAAAAATACAAGTTCCACGTAATTCTTATGATGTAAAAAGAACAAATAATAAGAACTAAGAAAATTACTATGTTGAGCTCAAAATGTAATTGGTTTTCTCAATACCTTTTCACATAAAGCTTTTTTAAAAAAGCTTTCAGATATTTTTTCTTTAGTTATCTGTTGTACTTAGTGATCAAGGAAAAATACTTGGTAAAAAAATATATGCATCAGGCTTTTCTTGTTATAACAATGGTTTTCTTTTCTTTTTTTTTTTTTTTTTTTAATTTCATTTTTAAGTAATTTCCACACCTAATGCTTGAACTCACAACCCCAAGATCAAGAGTTGCATGCTCCACTGCCTGGCCAGCCAGGTACCCCTAACATGGTTTTCTTAATTCTGAGGAATATTAGCATTTTCACAAATAAGGTCTTAGGTCAAGAGTTGCATACTCTACCAACTGAGCCAGCCACAAAATGATGTCTTAGACTCAGACACTGATGTGTGACACCTGGGTGGCTCAGTCAGTTAAGCATCCAGCTCTTGATTTGAGCTCAGGTCATGATCTCATGGTTGTGAGATTGAGCCACGCATCAGGCCCCACACTGAGCGCTCTTGCTCTCTCTTTCTCTCTCTCTCTCTCAGTGTCTCAGACACTGATGCTAGGTGACCATTCAGGGACCAAGCAATGCAGCTTATTAGTGCAGTGGAACTACCATGATGCCAAATCAAGTTCCAAAAGAGCCAAACATCTCATTGAGTAGGAAATGGAGCTGTTTCAAAGTGTATTTTTAATGTATAGTCTACTCAGTTTTTAAATTTTTTTTAACATTTATTCACCTTTGAGAGACAGACAGAGACAGAGTATGAGCAGGGGAGGGGCAGAGAGAGAGGGAGACACAGAATCCAAAGCAGGATCCAGGTTCTGAGCTGTAAGCACAGAGCCCAACATGGGGCTCGAACCCACCAACTGTGAGATCGTGACCTAAGCCAAAGTCGGATGCTCAACTGACTGAGCCACCCAGGTGCCCCTAGTCTACTCAGTTTTAAGACAAATTAAAAAAAAAATTTTTTTTAAATGTTTATTTATTTTTGACAGAGAGAGACAGAACATGAGCGGGGGAGGGGCATAGAGGGAGACACAGAATCCAAAGCAGGCTCCAGACCGAGCTGTCAGCACAGAGCCTGACGCGGGGCTCGAACTCACAGACCGTGAGATCATGACCTAAGCTGAAGTCGGATGCTCAACCGACTGCCACCCAGGTGCCCCTAAAACAAATTTTTAATAAAGTAAAAATAATCTTTTCTAGCCGAATTATTTTTTCTTTAAGGCAAAGTCTAAAAATGTGGAATGTGGGTGATTTTGCACCTTTTCATGATTTGCTTATTCGCCACTGGAATAAAGTCTAGTAGTGGATACTGTGATCGGTGGAATAAAATGGATGTTCTCATAGGCCCCGAATCTCAGGACACCCTTTGGAGATTCTGGAAGTTTTATCAGCCGTTAATCTTAATGCTTAACATTATGATGAATGCTCTGTGATGTTGGCTCAACATGAGTTAAGCACAAGCTAGAAGGTAGTATACAGATATACACTGGGTACTGAACCTAAAAAGTAGCATTATTGTTACTGGTAACAATAATCCTTTAAAGAAGTATTCCATCACATTAACAAAAGGAAACATGAACTTCCACAATCTAGAATTCTTTTTTCTTTACATTTGGATAACCAAAAGGAACTACTTCTTTCACCATAAGAATATAAACTTTTGTGAGGATACCTGATTCTTTTGTTCCTGTTTCTGTTGTGCAAGAAATTCTTCTCTCTCTTTTTCAACTCGAAGTTGCCTTGCTATTTTAAGCATCCGTTGATGATTCTGAACTGTCTCCACCTACAGTAAAGGAATAAGTAGTACATGTTACTGTCAAGTTTAAGAAAGAAATTAGCATGTCATGTGACTCAGACATCCACTTATCATTTCCTTTTGGCAAACAGTACTCCCTAGAGATGACAGTAACGTTCCAGACTCCAGGTCTTAAAAGTTCTGGGCTACTGCCTGGGGAGATTCCCTTTCTGTCAGTGTTATTTGAGTCCATCCTCAGATGTACACCCATGCCTTGCTTAATCTTCATTTTCATTCCTGAATCTGTGCAAGTGCTTGGGACTTGGGGCCAAAGTCTCACAGTGCTAATTCTTGCCTTACCCTTTTCTTCAAACGTTCAACTCTCTTAATGAGCTGATCCTTTTCATCCTCCATTGCACTGATATCCTAAAAAGTAGTCAAGGAGACATTATAAGGAAAAGTATTCTTTGTAGAATTCAAATAAAGTTGTCATATGATTGTGCATTGACCGTTTTCACTACATATAACCAGAGAATTAAGGAACAAAGATCCTCTTTTGGATAAAGGGCATTTTTATTTCTCCCCAGGGTTCTTTATGCAGGGTAATTTATTTGGCAGCTTGGTGTTCATTTAGAAAAGCAAATAAAACAGGTTATAACGTAGCAAGGTAAAGCTGCCAACCAGCACATTTGTGCTCTGATTCCAAATACGGGCACATGATTTTTCAAAAGTCTTCTATGATGGAAAGTGTGCAGGTCTAAAAACATGAACAACAGCTGCTGACATCCCATCTGCTCTGTTAAATACCAAACTATATATTCTGCCAATTTTCCATCAAAATTATTTTTAAGACTATGGTGTTTTCAAGACATAAATTTGCATCCGGTTTTGTCAATTAACCAATTCCCTTCCTAAAAATAAAGGCTTCAAAAATAAACCACCTTCCTGTTAAACAGCTCCATAATATTTGCAAGTGAAAACAAACAAAAATTCCTTCCTAAACCTAAAGAATGAATAGCCTAACCATCACAGTAATACTAAAGAGAAAAACAGACACACTAGTCAGCATTCACAGGATCTGAGGATATAGGCACTCTTACTCATTCCTGGTGGCATTGTATTGAAGAACAATATCAACAGTCTTAAAATAAACATATATACCATCTAGCCTGATAATTCCATGTCTGGGAATTTTTCCTAATAAAATATTCATGGAAGGCCAAAGACTTCTCTATGAGGAGTTTTACAGATGCTAATTATATCTAAAATTTGTAAATTATCCAAATGTCTGAAGATTTTTAAGTAAACTATGGCACGATACAATGAAAGTCATTAAAAATGGTGCAGAAGAATGTTTAATGACAGAAAAAGTCATGATATGACATTACTTGAAAGAAGCAGATTACAACATTTATATATAGCACAATATGAAGAGAAAGATTTAAATATATTCACTAAAATGTCAATAGTAGTTATCTATACAGTGTGGGATTATAAGTGAATTAATTTCTATCTTGCTTACCATATTTTCTACAAAGAATATGTTCAAAAACACCCTGGTAATAGTGAAATTAAAATGACAGACTCTCGGTTATTTTATCATTTCAGTTTACTCACATGACATAATGGAGGAAGAGTGGATGAAGGTCTATCATTCTTCCTTCATACTATAAGTATCCTACTTATGGATCTTTCTCTCCCATTAATATGAGTTCATCTTTCATTTCGAATATACTCAGCAAGCTCTCACTAAGAAACTACCATGTACGGGGCACTGTGATAGACACTGGGGTAGAGTGGTGAACAAGAAATACAGACATGGTCCTTGCCCTCATAGGGCATAAAAATAGTTGGGAAGACAGACATCCAAGTAATCCTAAGTCTGGTAAGTGTGATAAAACAAAAAGAACTGGGGGAACTAATTCATGTAGGAGATCAGGGAAAGCCTCCCTGAGGAAGCAACTTCTATTGTTTCCATGCCTGGTTGAGAATTTTAAAAATTTTTTTGGAGAATGTTAAGTAACATGTACCAAAAGTCCTAAGGGGCACCTAGGTGGCTCATTTGGTTAAGCGTCCGATGTCGGCTCAGGTCATGATCTCACAGTTCATGAGTTTGAGCCCCGCATCAGGCTCTGTGGTGAAAGCTCAGAAGCTGGAGCTTGCTTCGGATTCTGTGTCTCCTTCTCTCTCTGTCCCTCCCCTGCTCATGCTCTGTCTCTGTCTCAAAAATAAATAAACATTAAAAAAAATTTTTTTTTAATATTACTGTATTTTCTTTTCTTTACCCTTCTTATTTCTGCTGTAGAAAATCCAGATGTCTTGAGTTGCTCACATTCTTTATGCAAAGTTTTAAAGGCTTCCATCAGCTCTTCATACTAAAAGATAAGTTAAAAAATTATAAATTAATGACTAGATCCAATAGGCTTTTCTTAATCAGGTTATTCATTAACTTATAGTGATTACTTAAACCATTATAGAATGGCATTAAAAACACTTTCATATAAGATATAAAAAAAGTAGGTATATAAGATCTGGTCACTAAGTACTTCTCCAGCTCTCTCTCTGGTTACTTCCCTAACTCACATCATCCAACTATGGTGATCTTTAAATCTTTGGAATATTCTTCGTTCTCATCTCCAGTCTGCACACCCTATTTCCTCTGAGAACACTCTATGACTTCCTTACTTGGATAATTTCAGCTCATCATCTGTCAGGTCTCAGCATAGATAACACCATCTTCAGAGAAGACTTCTCTAGCCCTATACCTATCTAGATCAGAGTGTCATGATTCCAGAGTAAATAGCATGTAAAATTATAATTGTCTAGCTACTTATCTCTCTCCCACCATTAGACAAGGAGAGTTAGGAGGACAAGAATCCTATTGATCCTGTACAATTATGTATCCCTGGGACCTAGCATGGTGCATAACTGATATAGATATTCAATAAAAAGTAGTGGAATGAATGAAAAAAATCACAACTCTTATCCACAATTCTTTAAAAATAGTATTTTTTGTGAGCAATGACAGAAAATTAATAATATTTTTCCTGACTGATAATATCCTACAAATCTGTAAATCATTTATTCTAAAACTCTCCATTCAGGAAGACAATGTGCATTTTTTATTAGGGTCTGTGCTAAATGACAGGCTAAGTATATAAGCCATTTTATATATATATATCTCAGATATGCTTCAAGAACAAACATGTCTTTATTATCACTAATTCTTCCATGAATTATATGGACAGATTTAGTAAAAACTATTAATAAACTTCCTCCAGGGGAATTAGTTTTAATCAAGTTTATTGATGCGGGTGGGTAGGGAGGAGAAAATATTTCACATTTATGCTTCTCCATTTCCTACATTATGTAAAGCCTTCAAATGTAGGGGTTGGGGTGGTCTCATTCTGCTGTATTTCTCCCAAGGTATCTACTATAACATTTGACATGATTATTTACATAAACTTTTCAATCCCCAAAATGTCTTAAGAGATCAATATTGACTCTATTTTGAATGACTGCCATGACAATCCAAAATAACAAAACATGGATGAAGAAACATTTAGTTTTTATTGCTTTGATTCAATCCCAATTTTGAGTACATGCTGTATAGAAGCAACTCTACAAAACCCTGGAGGAAAACAAAGATGGATAAGACAGGATATCTGTCTTCACAGACCTCATAATCTGTTGGGAGAGAAAGACTGACAAACTATTCACAACAAACTGGCACAAATCAGTCTATGTACATAGCATAGAATAAAAGCACAAAGTGCTAAACTGAGACACCTTTTAGAAATCAAAGTCCTTTGAAATCTTAAGCTTAAATCCTCTCTTTCCATGGTCTTTGATCAGCGATGTGCTTTGAAATCCCAGGACCAAGAGCCAGATCAGCCAGAATCCTCAGTAGTCAAGAGCTTTAAGACTGTAAGGCCAGGGGGGCCTGGGTGGCACAGTCGGTTAAGCGTCCGACTTCAGCCAGGTCACGATCTCGCGGTCCGTGAGTTTGAGCCCCGCGTCAGGCTCTGGGCTGATGGCTCAGAGCCTGGAGCCTGTTTCCGATTCTGTGTCTCCCTCTCTCTCTGTCCCTCCCCCGTTCATGCTCTGTCTCTCTCTGTCCCAAAAATAAACAAACGTTGAAAAAAAAAAAAAAAGACTGTAAGGCCAGAACCCAATATCCTAAAACTCTAGAAGGAAAGTACACTGAAATTTCAAATTCCTAGCCCTTTCTCTACCTTCTGCCTGACTGGGAAGTCCTTTGAGGTCTCAAACCTAGCTTCTTTGCCTATACACAATCCTCTCAGGGGCTCGCATATCCTGATTTGTCTGGGATAGTGTCAATCTATACTTTTGCCCAATTATTATGATAGTTCCTTTCTCGCTGACTTGGATGACAAATTGTAATAGTCACCTAATTGATCAAGAAAGTACTCTACAATCCCAAACCTAAAACCCTATTGACCCGCAATTCTTAATAAATTACTTTAAAATCCTAATTTCATGATTTTTTTCTATCACTGAAATGGTATTTGTGTGCAAAAGTCAGTATTTTCATACATGATTGCAGCTGAACATTACTAATAACTATTTTACCTTTTGGTGCCACCTGGAAATACAGAGAAGCAAGTAAGCTAGAGAGAGATTAAGAAGTATTTAAACATGTGCACATTGACATCCATTACAGATAGTTTAAAAGTGCCATTTGTGTATTGTATACCTGTTTATTGGTATCAGCCACTGTTTCGTCCTGAAGAAACTCACTTGGTACCTCAAGTTTTATTAAAAAACGAGCTAAATATGCTCTTTTCTTCAGTTCATTAGTCCTCTGAAGAAGCCAGTGGAGCACTGGGTAAATTACAGGTTTACTTCCAATCACCAGACCCTGACGAAAGGTACTCCTACAAAAAGAAAATATCAACAATAAACGTAAAATTAGACCTTTAGTATATCACTGGACTACACAGGGAGGTTGTATTGGAGCCATAAATTGGTATAGTCAGCCTTAATGCTTTATTGACTGGGCAGGTTTAAATTATTGTTTCTACCTAAAAGGGCAGATAAAGGATAAATGATAAAATGGAATAGATTTGCCTGACTTGTTTGATTAGGGGGAAAATGACCCACTTACGACTCTCCATGACAAAATAATATTAAAAGTTCAAGATTATTTTGATATTCAGTGATATTCTGAAGTCATTGACTAAAGGAGACTGGGTATAACTTAGAAATTCTGACTGTAGACTATGAAGGTTTGGATATTAAAGCATAGCTTTAAGAAAGCAACATGTGATCAGATTCTTACATGTCTGTAGCATTTCCTGGAGGTTTGTATTTAAGGATACCAAGAAGGCTCAACATCCTTTTGGCTGTATGCTCTGGCATCTCCTCTCTGATATCAACAACTTGCTAACAAATAAAGAAATTGAAAAAACATGTTATTGTTGTATATCTAACAAAGAACGATATTTAAACTCATTGACAAAATTGTTCTGCTAGAGCATAACAGGTACAATGGACTCTTCATAAAACAGATGAAGTATGGAGGCCCCCAGATTCCAAGTGAGGGTACATACAAGTCAGATCAGGATTCGTATTAAGAATGTCAAGCTCAAAAAGTATCCAGTGGAAAGACCAGTGTACAAGAAACATGAACTAACTTGCAATACAATAAAACCTTTTGTAAAAGCATTTTCATTCCAAGACCAAATCTATTTATGTTTGAAGTAGAGAAATCATTTCTAAATAAGGTACAAGTAGGTAATTTAATTATTAAGTTAGTAGAGAAACCTTAAAGATCATTTATTTTTACTTTACAGGCATGGAAAATAAGGCCCAGAGGTTAAATAAATTGCCCAAGACTCACAGATACTTACAGGCAGAAACTGGCTTTCCTGCTACCCTTTTCATCACAAGAAAAACTCTTACCTTTGGGTCAATCTCAGCCAGAACATCATTGAGAATTTGCAATAGTTGCATTGGCTCCAGGGAATCAAATGTTATTAAATTATAGTTCTTCCTAAAAGGCTCCTTATTGAGATTGTCCACAATGAATTTGATTTGATCGCTCATAATTAGGTCTTATAACTAAAAATAGAGATAAAATTCCTTAATACTTGTTATAAACATTCTGGAAAAAAATCAGTATTAAGTTTATAGGAGGTAGGCATGAAAAGTATAATTCTACATAGTACACAAAATGCTAAGAAAAGGGTTGTTTTGCTGAAAGAAATCAGAATATGAAGACTTTATTATGAATGTTACAGTACATACTGTTAATATTTAATACCAAATGTTTTTATATATGCATCTGGTATGATAGCAATCATCTGAGTTAACATTGAATTAATATGGACAAATGAGTAATAAATTCCACCTATATTAACATCTCTTCCACTCAGCTCCACAACTACCCAGGGGTAAAGATTTGTTAGGCTACAGACATGCTTCTAATTTTGTTTTAATTAGCAGCCCATGCTTAAAAATTGGGCGATTTTTTTACATTAAAATCCAGACACCTAATTTCTGGTCAAAATAAGATCTGGCAACCCTGGGCACCCATTTGTGCACAGCCACACCCAACTGAAGCTGAACGGATGCTGCAAGCTTTAGCCTAGGTATGCTCTCTTTGGTTTTGTTCTGGTTTCCTCCACCAAGCACTCTTCACCATCATCGACTCTGCCACCCTTGAGTAATTCAGGCCTATGTTTCCTTGTGTCTTCAATAAGGTAACAGCCTCAAGTTTTCTGGCCCCCGCTTCTATTCCAAATCATTTGTATGATTTTCATTGCTCACAAAGTCCAAATTTCTTGGATTTCGAGACTCTTTAAGATCTAGCTCAATTTAGCTTTCCCAACTTTATTTCCAAATTGTTACCTTTCACTCTTTTAAACTTCACCGGACTGAAATTAGTCACTGCTCCCTAGTTTTTCCACATCTGCCTTCAGATGATCTTTTTTCTTGCCCAGAAAGCCTGTTCCTTGCCTGATCTCCACAGGTGCAAATCCTAAGTCTTTCAAGCCCTGCCCTCCAAATGCACGTTCCTCCAGGAAGTCATTCTCTATCTCCCATGTTCTGTGTCAGAATAACAGCAGTCCCTGACCTCCAAGTTAATCACACTTTATCTGCACCGCTTTCTTACAGTTACTTTTCTGTTTTGTACTAATTATTTATGTACATTTTCTCTTCTTTACTAAACTATAAATTCCATAAGGACATATCTGTGCCTAATTCCATCTGTGAATACCCACTGCATCAAAACAGTGACTTCTTTCCATAGACTGAATAAATGTATTCACAGGCCCAAGGCCAGGAAAACACACACACACACACACACACACACACACACACACACACACACACA